TATATATATATATATAGGAATGCAGACCTTATCGCTTACACATTTCCTTTGGGCATACAAATATTCAATCTACCTGACTTATATGTACTTTTATATGTGTGTGTGTGTGTGTATAGATAACTATTTAGATAAGATAAAACAAAATGGCTTGTGCAATGCTTTTTAGCCGCCTTAAAACTGTCGATTGTTTTGTTGTTTTGCACTTCGACAAAAATTAATTTTCTAATTTTATTTGCACAATAATCAGTCATAAATATATATAAATATCAGCAAGTTAACGCTTGATAAGATATAAGCGACTTGAGTACAGCTGTTCTATGCAATGGAACAAAGGAAATTAATTGTTTTTATCACAAGACCAAGGTAAATTTAAATTGCTTGGCCAAATGTTGCAAACTGACTTAACCAGCTGCGCATACCCCATGCGAATATAATTGCAGAGGCGATGACTCTCTGCCCGTGTTCCAGGAAAAACTCTAATGACGCAATTTGGCCAATTGGTCTGGCTATATGCACTACAAAACTGAGCAACTAATTATACATATAAGTGGATATACACGTACATCTGCATATATATATTTATATATATATAATCTAATGCAGAAATGCCCTTGATTATGCGCAGCTGTTATTTTGGCACACACACACACACAGAAAAAAAAAACTTTTCAATTTAAACTTGTCATAAGCAAAAATAAAAAATAGAACTTATGAAAGTGTAAATCCCACAGTAAGACCATAATTCCATTTAGATACGGTGCTATATGCCCGATAAGTCTACAAGGCCAAGCCAGTGCACAAAGTTCGCCTGGCTCTGGTCTAGCCTCCACTCTTTCTACTTGCCTCCCAGCGCGAGTTGTCCAGCAGCAGGGGCTTGCCGCATTTGGAGACGGCCGGCTTTTGGGGCTCCTTCGGCTCGTTGATGATCTCCGATTTGGGAATTTTGTCTTTGGATTTCTTGAATAGCTTTAGCATTTCGATGGACGCGCAACTCGGACGGATCACACTCGATTATTACAGTTATTCGGGCAAGAAAATACACTTTCCAAGCTTTGCAGCTTTATTTTTTATGATTTGTTATATATATATATTTAAAACGAATATTTCACTAATTCGTTGAACCGCACG